CCCGCAGAGCGGTGACGCCGCCGTGTCCCCGCAGGGAACGTGGTGAACGGCACCATCGCCCGGCAGATGGTGGACATGCTGGTGGAGTCCTCCAGCAACGTCACCATGATCCTCAAGTTCTTCGACATGTTCCTGAAGCTGCGCGACATCGTCTCGTCCGACGCCTTCCGCCACTTCGTCACCGACCCGCGCGGGCTCATCTCCAAGAAGGACTTCCAGAAGGCCATGGACAGCCAGAAGCAGTACGAGCCCGACGAGATCCAGTTCCTGCTCTCCTGCTCCGAGGCCGACGAGAACGAGATGATCGACGTGGAGAGCTTCGCCCAGCGCTTCCAGGAGCCGGCGCGCGACATCGGCTTCAACGTGGCCGTGCTGCTGACCAACCTGTCGGAGCACGTGCCGCACGACCAGCGCCTCAAGACCTTCCTGGAGCAGGCCGAGAGCATCCTGGATTATTTCCGACCCTTCCTGGGCCGCATCGAGATCATGGGGGCGGCGCGGCGCATCGAGCGCATCTACTTCGAGATCAGCGGCGCCAACAAGGCGCAGTGGGAGATGCCACAGGTCAAGGAGTCCAAGCGCCAGTTCATCTTCGACGTGGTCAACGAGGGCGGCGAGGCCGAGAAGATGGAGCTCTTCGTCAACTTCTGCGAGGACACCATCTTCGAGATGCAGATCGCCTCGCGCATCTCCGAGGAGGAGGCGCCGCGCGACGAGGAGGAGGAGGAGGACGAGGACAGGGAGGAAGAGGAGCCGGCCGAGGCGCCGGCGCCGGCTCTGCTGGGTTTCGGGGCGCTGCGGCGGCTGCTGGGGTCCCCGCAGACGTGGCGCCGCAGGATCAGGAGGCTGCGCAAGAAGTCGGGGCGCGAGCTGGCGTGGGAGGCGGGCGCGGGCGCGGGGCGCGTGGCGCTGGGCGGCGTGCTGGGGGGACTGGGGGTGCTGGGGGCCGTGGGGCGCCTGGCCTGGAGCTCGCTCTTCGGCGGGGGGCTGGTGGAGGGGGCGCAGCGCCTGGGGGTCATCGAGGTGCTGGGCTCCATGCCCGACCCCACCCAGGACGCCGTGGGTGGCGGCGAGGCCGGGGCGGGCGACGAGGGGGGACCCCCGGAGCCGGAGCAGCCCCCCGAGGCGCAGCTGGAGGCGCCCCCGGCCGAGGAGGAGGAGGAGGAGGAGCGGCGGGAGGTGAAGGCGGTGCCGGCGGGGCCGGGGGCACGCAAGGACCCCCATTTCAGGCTGGCGGCCCCCGACGCCCCCGGGGGGCTCGGGGACATCGGGGAGCCCCCCGGGGCTGAGCCCCCCACGCCCGAGGGGACCCCCATCCTGCACAGGAAGATCGGGGTAAGGGGGGGAAAAGGGGATTTTGGGGGTCCCTGGAGGGGATTTGGGGGGTTTTTGGTGGGGGTCAGTGTGGAGGGTGGGGCGTGGGGAGATTTTGGGGGTCCCTGTGGCCGTTCCTGGTGGAGGAGTGTTGGGGGCACCCTTGGGGGGGAAATTCTGGGGGTCCCTTCGAGGGAGGGGGAGTCCCCGGGGTCCCCTGTGGAGGGTGGGACACCACGGAGGGTCCCCAAAACCCCCATCCCAACCCCCTCCATGGCCCTGCCCGGCCTCAGGGGCACTTTGGGGGGGTCCCGGGGGGGATGTACCCCCCAACCCCCCAACTCGGACCCCCCTTGTCCCCCCCAGGAGATGGCGGAGCAGGCGGGGGAAGGACAGAAGGAAGAGGAGCCCCCGGCCGAGACCGAGAAAGCCGAGTAAGGGCGGGGGGCATGGGGAAGGGAATTTGGGGAGGGGTCCCTGCCCCGCGGGGGGCTGTCCCCGAGCCCCCCAAACCCACCGTGGGCCGCCGTCCCCCAGCACGGAGAACGGCGAGAAGGGCGGGGGTCCCGAGGGGCCCGAGGAGGAGCCCCGCGCCCCCCCGAAGCGGCGCAAGTCGGTGCCCCGGGAGCGCCGGGAGCCCCCGGCCGAGGGCGGCTTCGACTTCTGGGGAGAGCTGGAGGTGCAGAGGGTCAAATTCCTGGTAAGGGGAGGCCCGGGGGTCTCTGGGGGAGGGGGGTTTGGGATTTGGGGGGTCCCGGGTTGGGGGTGGTCCCCTGGATTGGCCGGTTCCGCTCCCCGCAGAATTACCTGTCGAGGAACTTCTACAACCTGCGGTTCCTGGCGCTGTTCCTGGCCTTCGCCATCAACTTCATCCTCCTCTTCTACAAGGTGGGGGGCTGGGGGGGAATTTGGGGGGGCTTGGAGCTCGGGGGGGGGGGTGGTTTAGGGGGTCCTGGGTCCCCACAGAGCTGCTGAGATGAGGTGGGGACACCCCAGAGCCCGGCACTGCCATCGGAGCTTGGGGTGGGGATGCACGGAGGGGTCTGGGGACACTTTGGGGGCCCCCAGACCCCGGTACCCCAACCTGGGGGGTCCCCAGACCCCTGTGACCCCACTGAGGGGGGTTTGGGGACACTTTGGGTGCCCCCAGACCCCAATACCCCGTTGTGGGGGGAGTCTGGAGCCCCCCTGACCCCACAGAGTGGGGTTTGGGGACACTTTGGGGGCCCCCAGGCCCCAATATCCCATTCTGGGGGGTCCCCAGACCACTGTGACCCCACTGAGGGGGGTTTGGGGACACTTTGGGTACCCCCAGACCCCAGTACCCATCATGGGGGGCCTCCCCAGACCCCAGTACCCCATTTTGGGGGGTCCCCAGACCCCTGTGACCCCACTGAGTGGGGTTTGGGGACACTTTGGATGCCCCCAGACCCCAATACCCCATTTTGGGGGGTCCCCAGACCCCTATGACCCCACTGAGGGGGGTTTGGGGACACTTTGGGTACCCCCAGACCCCAATACCCCATTCTGGGGGGTCCCCAGACCCCTATGACCCCACTGAGGGGGGTTTGGGGACACTTTGGGGGCCCCCAGACCCCGGTACCCCATTCTGGGGGGTCCCCAGACCCCTGTGACCCCACTGAGGGGGGTCTGGGGACCTTTTGGATGCCCCCAGACCCCGGTACCCATCATGGGGGGGCTCCCCAGACCCCAGTACCCCATTCTGGGGGATCCCCAGACCCCTATGACCCCACTGAGGGGGGTTTGGGGACACTTGGGTGCCCTCAGACCCCAATACCCCATTGTGGGAGGGTTCCCAGACCCCAATACCCCATTCTGGGGGATCCCCAGACCCCTATGACCCCACTGAGGCGGGTTTGGGAACACTTTGGATGCCCCCAGACCCCAATACCCCCGTTGTGGGGAGCTCTGGAGCCCCCCTGTCCCCGTGGGGGTCCCTCACCTGTCCCCCGTCCCCACAGGTGTCCGAGCACCCCCCGGGCGCCCCGGAGGAGCCCGAGGGCTCCGGGGCGGCCCCCGAGGAGGACGGGGCCGTGCCGGGAGGCGCGGAGGCGGCGGGGGGGGTCCCGGAGGAGCCCGAGGTTTATTATTTCCTGGAGGAGAGCACGGGCTACATGGGCCCGGCCCTGCGCGGGCTNCAATACCCCGTTGTGGGGGGAGTCTGGAGCCCCCCTGACCCCACAGAGTGGGGTTTGGGGACACTTTGGGGGCCCCCAGGCCCCAATATCCCATTGTGGGAGGGTCCCCAGACCCCTGTGACCCCACTGAGGGGGGTTTGGGGACCTTTTGGATGCCCCCAGACCCCAGTACCCATCATGGGGGGGCTCCCCAGACCCCAATACCCCATTCTGGGGGGTCCCCAGACCCCTGTGACCCCCCTGAGGGGGGTTTGGGGACACTTTGCATGCCCCCAGACCCCAGTACCCCATTTTGGGGGGGTCCCCAGACCCCTGTGACCCCACTGAGGGGGGTTTGGGGACACTTTGGGGGCCCCCAGACCCCGGTACCCCAACCTGGGGGGTCCCCAGACCCCTGTGACCCCACTGAGGGGGGGTTGGGGACACTTTGGGTGTCCCCAGACCCCAATACCCCATTCTGGGGGGTCCCCAGACCCCTATGACCCCACTGAGTGGGGTTTGGGGACACTTTGGGGGCCCCCAAACCCCAATACCCCATTCTGGGGGGTCCCCAGACCCCTGTGACCCCACTGAGTGGGGTTTGGGGACACTTTGCATGCCCCCAGACCCCAGTACCCCATTCTGGGGGATCCCCAGACCCCTATGACCCCACTGAGGGGGGTTGGGGACACTTTGGGGGCCCCCAGACCCCAATACCCCATTCTGGGGGGTCCCCAGACCCCTGTGACCCCAACTGAGGGGGGTTTGGGGACACTTTGGATGCCCCCCAGACCCCAATACCCCATTCTGGGGGATCCCCAGACCCCTGTGACCCCACTGAGGGGGGTTTGGGGACACTTGGGTGCCCTCAGACCCCAATACCACATTCTGGGGGGTCTCCAGACCCCTATGACCCCACGGAGGGGGGTTTGGGGACACTTTGGGTGCCCCCAGACCCCAATACCCCATTGTGGGAGGGTCCCCAGACCCCTGTGACCCCACTGAGGGGGGTTTGGGGACACTTTGCATGCCCCCAGACCCCAGTACCCCATTCTGGGGGGTCCCCAGACCCCTGTGACCCCACTGAGGGGGGTTTGGGGACACTTTGGGTGCCCCCAGACCCCGGTACCCATCATGGGGGGGGCTCCCCAGACCCCAATACCCCATTCTGGGGGGTCCCCAGACCCCTGTGACCCCAACTGAGGGGGGTTTGGGGACACTTTGGGTGCCCCCCAGACCCC